CCACACTGCCCCCGCCCCCGGGTCAGCCACGCTGCTCCCGACAGGACCCTCCCTCCCCGGGCCTGCCATGCTGTTCCTGATCCCCCCCTCCCCGGGCCAGCTGCACCCCCCCCAACCCCGGGTCCCCACACACACACCAGCCGCACTGCTCCTGTCCCCCCACGGGCCAGCCACGCTGCACCTGATCCCCTGCCCGGGGCACACTCCCCTGCCTTCCCGCCCGGGGTTTAAACTCACATCGCTTCATGGGGAAGCGGGGTGATGTTGCTGAGTCCCTGCCACCTCTTTCTGTGGGGTCCTAAGACCCGCCAGTTTTGGCCACGCATGCGGGCAAACCCGGCACAGTGTCAGTTCCCCAGAGCGTCGAAGTGGCGCTCCTTCTAGTGCGGGGGCTCACACCCCTGCACCACAGGTGGCCCTTTGAAACATTAGGGTATGCCTGGGTACACCCAGCATGCCCCATGCGCATGCCTATGACCATACAGTGACCATATTTCCTGACACAAAAATAGGAACACATTAGCCACACCTCTGATACTGCTAGCCACGTCCCTGACCCCTTAGGCCCTGCCCATGTGACACAGTAGCTCCCACCCATGGAGGGTAGTACTTCCAGGGTCAAGATAGACACATGGCTGAAAGTACAGGGTGTCATATGACACCCCTCCCTTTAAGAACTCCCACCATTCTCTACCAATAGGGATGGGTTTGGGCACTATAGGAGGCCCCATGCAACTATACTGTAATTGTATTAACCCAGGTCCCAGACATAGCGTGTCAGGCCCGGGGGCTGCTCCAGCCTCACAGAGTGCCTGCTGCAGGCAGGGGTTACTCTTATCTGGAGCAGCCCATCTGTGAGGGATCTGGTGCCCCACAAGCAGGGACTGTGCCAGTGTCAAGATCTGCCTCTCTCTGCGGGGAATCCAACTTGCTGTGGAGAGGAGATGGTCGGAGGGGACTGGGAGCCAGTGTGACCTAACTAAGGATGTTAACTGCATTTTAACATTTAACATTTTAACTGAGTACTCAACTAGTCAATCGAACTCCGTGTACAGCCCAGGAAGTCCCGCTGACTCCGGGCTGCACCCGGGTGCCTTCTTTGATATGCACTAGAGTCCCCAGCATTTCAAAGCCACGGCACCCGGGATCAGCAGAGGATTCTCCAGCTGACCCTGGGCTCCCTGCAGCATTTCCCAGGAAGCCTGAGATCAGTTAGGGAGTCTCCAGCTGCCCCTGGGCTCCCCGCTGCTGCCCCTTTCCAATCACAGAGATGAGTGGTTCAAAGGGACAGCCACCACACAGCTAATCCATAGATCAGCTGTTTGGCATCTGTCCCTTTAAACGACGCATCCATGTGATTCAAAGGGGCAAATGCCTATATCAAACTTCATTTTAAATAAAATAAAATATTAATTTGTGTCCAACACAAAAGGTTTCAATGTTTTCTCTATTGATTGCAAGGGTAGGCAATCTTTTCTGAGCCACAGAAAATTTAGTTAGGGACCACACAAGTGAGAAACAAAAAACTCCTCCCAAAACCCCCAACCTCACTGACGTGGCCCCCAACTCAGACTCCTCACTCCTCTGGTGCTCCCCTGGCTGAGGGAAAGGGACAGGGAGGACTGAGGTTCAGGGCTTCCCATAG